ACAGTGGAACAATTCTTATTGGTCTCATGTTCTAAAGAAAGAAAAATTTTCTCATCTTCATTTTAAAAGAAAAAGTACAATGTACAACCTAAGTTCATCTTTAAAATTTTGTTTTGTTGCTTTCTTTTGACTGACTAGATAAAATGGCCTGCCTCAAACTTTTTGCCTGCAGGAAACAATTATTATTTTAGGCATTCCGCAAAATAAATTTTGAAATATCAACATTGATTTGATAAATTTTCTGTGAATTTTTTTCCCACCTAACCAACGGCCCAAACTTCACTGTGTTTGTACAAAAACTTTACTTTTATTCAAGATAAACTATCCAACTTCATATTTCAGTTGGTAATGCTAGATTTATCTATATATGTTGTTATCAACTGTTGCCTCTTTTCAATATTAAATGTAGTACTATAAATATTCAAAAATTTATATAAGGTTTCCATAGTTACATGTAGATACTAATATAAAAAGTTATTTGCCAATTTATTTTTAAGTCCATTTTTTTCAAGAGAGCTGGGAATATTCCATCTATAGGCACGTAGCAGCGGGGTGTGGGGGGGGGGGGGTTACGCCACATTTTTTCAGGCATGTTTTTCGATAGGAAAGTGAAAATGCATCTTTCGCAATAAACTTTGCACATCTCCACGTGATGAATGTTGCCTGGTCTCCTGGAGCAATCACATCAGCTGTCATGCTATTTGTAAAATAAACTTACTACTGAATCTATCATAATGTCCATGTAAGAGATTTCATGGTTTCTTACAAATCACTTCTTCAAAATTCCTTTTCGTAGTTTGCAAGTAAATATCACATTTCGTATTTCATATCAAACGTTACTGGTCCATTGAGAACCATGAATTTTTCTGCTTAAGATGCAATTTATATTTGCACATATATATTGAGTTATATATTTCAAAATAGAAATTAAAAAGTCACTTGATTTTTTAATTTTGAAAATATTTTTAAATAAAATCTATAAATTCATTTGGTTTTAAATTGTAGGTTACTTATCACATGCACATTAAGTTGTATATACAGGTATGCACTTAGAAAAGAATAGGCTGAAAAAGTACTGAAACGTTGGCAAAAATCAACAGAACTTCAAATCTATATTTGTTGTAAAATAATGCAAACAGGCATTATTAGATGGAATACTTTAATGAACTAAAAAGAGCGACGGAATGAATTCGCATCACGTTTGATCTCCTTTGATACCACAGTCCCTAACGAGTACATTACATGGTCTGTATATATCTCCTGACAGATCATAAGTTTATAGTTGGATAGCTTATTTATAAATAATTTGGTGCCATGGGCAATTCTTAGTTTTACCTGAATTCAGGCGAGTCTGCTTTGAATTTTTGTATTGCCGCAGTCTGCATCTTGTAAATAGCTTCTAATGTACGCAAATAAAAATGTAAATAAACTGTTCATTTCCGATTGGATCTTTTATCAACGATATCAGAATGACGAAACAATTATGGAAGACAGCAAACACGTTTACACTTCGTTTATTTACCTGCAGAGAAAAGCCCTAGTCGATCAATTTTCATGAATGAGTAGCAAAGCTCTATAATCGGTGGGCGTTTTACGTAAAGGTAGCAGATAAATTCTGCATATTTTATTTAAATCTCCATTGAATATTTTTATAGCGATCTGGGGTCTGTTTTCAGTCTTACATAATTTCCTGGTGTTATACAAATTTACTCAATTAATTTGACAAATTATTAAGCGTCTTCAGTTCCTCTTCCTTGAAGTTTAAGAAAATCAGTAATTGTTTTCAAATGTTGCGAAATTCTCAAACAATTCTTCTATTCATTTCATTAATTTTTCTTCTTCAGAAATATTAGTAATTAGACCCAGGAATTTAATTTTTTAAAATTTGTCTACAAAATTGTACTTATTAGTAAAAATATAATACATAACATTGATTATTTAAAAATAAAAAGGTTCGTCATTTTCATGAAGAACTACAAATTCTAGCAATTAGTGGTAAATGACAAAGCAAATTTGAAAAAAAAAATTCAATTGTTTAATTTGTATGTGTCTATAAGTAAGACCATTGTTTCTCTATATGTGCCAAAAATGATTACATGGATCAGTTTATATTTTTTACCTTTTTCATTATAAATGTTATAGAATAATAATTTCTAAAATATTACAAAATTCTAAACTTTCTATGATGCTCAAAATTGTACCCTTCTGATTATTAATAATTTTTGATAAAAAAAATTGTTTGTATTAATTGTCCTTAAATCTTAGAATATTTCCTTATTTTCGATGTTTATAAATACATGTATCCTTGAAAAGTGTTTTATTTCCAGGTGAGATAATTTTCAATATTGAAATTTTTGTGCTTCGTTCCATTGAATTCTCTGACATTTCCTTGCTATTTGTTAATAGGAAGATGAAGTACTTACTTGAACAAGTGGATTTTTCATATATATTCTTTTTGTTTGCGATACAGGAAATCCACTTTATACTTACGGCGTTTATCCATGTTCAGTTTCTTCGTAGTGACATACTGTAAGAGAATTTCATCTTCGTTATCATTTCACGAAATTTACAATTACTGCTGACCCCCTCCAGTTATTATGGCTATTCTGCACCTACCTTAATGAACATGTTATCTTTTCGTATCAGAATCTTTTCTTATCAGAAATCGTCACGGTAGTTAGGGCTCTCGCTCCGTGATCGGAAGGTCGTTTGTTCGAATCACGGCCGCGACTGACCAAAGTCGATTTTAAAAAAATATGTAGTAATTTTTCCTTCGCCAAGCGCCAGGGTCTTTTAAATGAAAGACTCGGGTCATTCGAAATTTGGATGAAACTTTAAAAACTGTAAAAACCGAGGTCCTGGTTCATGGTTGGCGTTGGCATGATAAAGATCTCTCACTGCTCAATGTCCCTGAGTGCCGAGTAGAGGTCTTTATTTGAAGCCCTTCACTGGAATAGATAGATGTCTCTATATCAGTAAAAAATTGGACGTAAAACCACATGCAATCAGTCAATCCTTTTGAGAAAATGCAACCAGAGTTGTAGTTGCATTTTTCTTTAAAGTAGCATGATAAGGATTATTTTATCTTTTTGTTTTGTGTACTGTGACTGTTAAAAAAAATTGTTTTCATTGCAAAATTGGTTATGTTTATAGCTAAATTAAAATCTTTTCATGGAAACGTAGCACAACAAAACACAATGTTTAAATGAAGATGTGATGCAAGCTTCCCTTGAAGTGCGTCTTTTAGCTTATATTATGCATATTTCAAGTAGGTTTATAAAATGCTTGGTATTAGATTAAAAGTTGCAAGTCTGTTGTTAAAATTAAATTACTCATTTTGCTGTCTTATATTCTTTTGTTCTTCAAGTAATAAATAGGAAAACCCTATAAACAAATACCAAAATCTCTTTAAAATCACATATCAATAAAAAATGAAGTGGTTTTGCAGGCATTCATTAAATATGTCCTCAGTACTAAAATTGAAGCATTGGTTAAAACTGTTTTTCGTTGTTCTGGTGAAAACGTATAATTATATAATTTCTAGATATTGAATACAAATGCAATATTTTCTATATTTACTTCTATTCTGAAAAGAAAAATATTAATAAAAATGAACAATATGCTATCATAAATATCAATATAGATCAGAAAAAGTTCATTGTAAGTAATGTATTCATCAATTTACATGTCATTAATTATTCTTTTCTCAAGGTTAGGCAAAAAGACAGCATTTTGTCCAATCAAATAAATTGTAACAAAAAGTATTCGTTGATTTTGTTTTTCGAAAGGTTGACAATTAATTAAGTGCATTTGAAGACACACACTTTCCCTTGATTTATCATTAAATTAAGCGAAAATCAGGGAAATTACCTTTTAACTCAAATAAGGCAATTTTTCCCAAATATCTCTTTATTCAATCATTTTGAGCTAAACTTTCCCTGTAAAAATATTTGATTAAATACAATTAAAAACAATGTAGTGCAACGCATTAACATAAAAAGTGAAGTAAATTACTTCCAATCCTGAACGGATGCATGTAAACAAAAAAAAGAGTCTAACAATATGTATCTTTTCTTAAATCAGAACTTATTCCCTCTTCATCAGATATTGAGCAACGCTTAGGTTAACTCATCAGATTTCAAAAACTATTGGACCAGACAGAGGTTAGATAGGAAACAAAGTCATTATGCAAAAATTAGAAATGTTCCACGGGTTTAAAATGTTATGCTAATTTGAATCTAGATATCTTAATCGAATTCACTTAAAGCAATAACTTTGTGCATCCCGGCTAAATAGAATCGGTTTATCAATCTTGACATCTTATTTTCTTCTAAGGGTCTTTTTCTTTGCATATATTACATTTGACTTGAATATTTTGGGATATAAATTTAGTTTTATTTAATTCTCTTCTCTCTGTATCACATGATTTTTAAATCAGTATGTAAACATTCCTTACTTTTCTCTTATTTCATGACGCGAATATTAAATTGCAAACAAGAATATTTAATGTGTTGCGTAAAAGATGCATTTTAAAAAATCCGGATCCTGAACGAACAGGAATTATTAAATGAATAGGATCTTACTATCCGTATCTTTTATTATCAATATATTGATTTGCCTCTTTTATTCCAGTGACGCACTGTATATATACCCTAATATTGATTTTTTTCCCCCACTTACGCAATTGAATAGGTACTTTTATTCATACAAAAATGTTTAGATTTTTCTAAAAGTTAAAGTTCATCATAGTAAAAATGAAAAGAAAAATAAACAACTTTTATTCAAGCCATAAGATTTTTTTTTAAATTGCACAACGAAGCTTATTAGATTCGCCATTATATTTTAAATCTTCAAGCGTGTCAAGCTATATTGAGATTCGTGTTTTATGGATCATTCATTTTCTTAAAAAATATTCGTTTTACTCGAGATTTCTTTGTCTTCAAAATTTTAAAAGGTATCCTTTTTACTTTATATAATCATATAGTGTAGTGAAAGAATAATGAAATTCTCACAAATCAAGAGCCTACCATTAAACATTCTTGTTTCTCTATACAACAGTTTGGTTGTATTGTCATGCTTAGAACTATACGGAAATAAATGCATCTCAAATCTGGATTGTGTTTAAGTATAAACAAAACATCTGCTGATAATAAGAATGGATAAGAATAAATATACAGAAAACACATTTCGATGGCTAACGTGAGAGCATTCCAAGACTGTTTAGAAAACAATGTTCCAACTTGAGCTCTAATTTCTTTTTATTTTTTCAATGTTCCGTCTCACCCCTATATTAATTATTCAATTAGAGCGATATTGTGGATAGCATTTCCCGGTGGAGTACCATTCTACGAATTGTCCTAAACTGCTGTGCTATTATCTGGAAATTTAATGCCACAACTGTCGAGTCATTTTCTGTCATTTTCCTATTAATGTAATGAGTTACATCCTCTACTGATCCGAAATTTGCTTATGTGCGTGAATTCACGAAATTTGTGATATGTGTCGTACACCTACAAAATAAATTTTAATAGTTTTTATCCAGGTAGGTCTTGGTGATGTAAAACCACTGACCCACATTCAAAGCAATGCTGAGATAACGTATGTACAATCGGCCCTCGTATTTACCACAATCTGGCCATATATGGTGTATTTATGTCACGAAGAGAGAAAAATCAATGCCATAATACTGTAGAAAAAAAAACATTCAGTCTAAAATTATCTTAAATCTATTATTAGTTTCCTAATCCAAAATTTGATGCCGTGTTTGCCATAACTAGCGTAATGCAGTTTATTGATTTTTTTGCCCTTGTAGAAACCCCCAACATGGTCAGATCGAGGTTTCGTCGATGTTTTATATATGTTTTGATCTATTTTTACTCTGCTTTGAGAATATCTGCGTCAGCCGCAATATTGACGTTTAGATTTAGTAGTGCAGCTTAGATTGACGACACGACCATGAATTCAGCCATGCGGGTTTCACTTAATCCACCAATGAAAAAGGCTGTTACAGCTAGAACAATTACTAGGAATGTACATTCAAATAGGGTGACGTAAGCCGTGATGCTGTGTGACGTCACACGTATTCTCATAGACATATTACGATGATAGTGAAATATATACACGTGATGGCAGACTATTACTCGATGTTGAAGTCTAATCGAGATGGTGTAACATGCATGGAATATAGCAGCCAATTTGTATTTGAGCTTGGATATTTTAATGCAATCTGGCGTTTAATTTTGATTTTCATGATTCTACAAAACTACCATCTTTGCAGCATCAGGATTTGGAATTAAACAAATTAGAAGGTAAGAACATTTCTTTAAATTTATATTTCCCTATTAGCACATAGCATAGTATATATTATTTGCAACTGCCTCATGTTGGTGCAATTATACAAAATATATAGATGCAGAAAATTAATCTGAATGTTTTACTTCATTTCAGTGATTGTATCATAATATAAATCAAATTGTTAGTCTTTTCTAATATTTCTTATAATAGAAAAGCTTTCAACATCCACAAAAAATAACTTTGATATCCATTTTTTGCACTTCTTAGCTATCCGCTGCAATATGCTTAAATGCAAAAAATGAAAGTTTACTGTGTTTTTCTTAATATATTTAAAAGACATAAAATTAAACCTGATTACTTAAAGTGCCATTAAATAAATCTACAAACAAATCTTGATATTCTTTGCAATAAATGTATGCGCACTTACCTTTCTCATAATCAAATATTAATCATATTTCCATTTAAAATATTTGCAATGTACCTTTTGTTAAACAGGTACATGTGTTAAGAAAAATGCGCAACAAAATTAAAATAGGGGAAAATTTAAAGTTATTTTGGGGGTGTACTTTATCTTTTGCATTGAATTTAATGCTGTCCTTACATCCTTGTTGAAAGCTTATGTTTTAAACAAGACGTCTGATAGTAAGAGAGTGGTCTGGATTTTAGATGCAGTTACAATATTCCATTATTTTTTTAAAATCCCAAGCAAATACAAAATCTCATAATTCTGAAAGATCCACCGTTACTTGTAGAAAGTATTTCAAGAAAGATTAAGTAAGCCACGAATTTTGTTTCCAATAATATAAGTTTGTGTCTTAGTATTCCATGGCTCATATTGTATCTAAAAGATTTAACCACAGTTTAATACGGTCGAAATTTTGTCCTCTTTTATCAATTGTAATTTGTGACAGCTAAAATAATTTTACATATATTCATGCATATTTTTAAAAATCCAGAACATGCGAGAATGTTATTATGCGATTTTCTTGCACCTTTTACGAAAACGGTTCTCTTTGAGTAATTATTTACTATAGTTCTAATGAAAGGGAAATAACGCCTACTTTGTTTTACGTGGAGGTACTTCATTTTCATATTGCTATAAAACTTCAGACTCGAAATGAAAAATGGCATTGCCTTCGAGTTAAGGTCGTGGTGAGGTTATGTAAGTATAACACATATCTTATACTTTGTTAACATGCCCCAACACCGGATCTTGTCATTTAGATTTGAGAACAAGGAATGCGGTTAAGCAATTGATTTGGCTTGTCATGGTCTGATATTTTCTTGACTGATGATGGAAAATTAAAATAAAATGAAAGCAAGTGCACAAAATTTTCTATAAGAACTTGCACAAGACTTAGAAAAACTTGCTTAATTATTATTTAAATTATATTTTCAAAAATTTTATTGCAAGTTGTTTGGGTTTTTTTTTTTAAATCAATTTATTTTTCTTTAAATAAATAATTCTATTATCAGAAATTGATTTTGATTTAAATTTAACTTTAATTTTTTTTAAATAAGAGAAATATACATTAATATTTTAAGGATGACCAAATAAAATTTTAATGATTAATAATGAAAGAATGGCTTCCTAAGTAATTCCAGCATTGGGGTTTTGAAAATACGCGTGCTCGATAATTCCCTATCAGCTGTGTTTGCAAATGGATGCTGTATCATGTCATCTTTATCAAAATTGGAGAAATTTTGGCCACTGTTTCTTGACGTCATTCTGATTATTACAAGAAATATCCTGTGTGTTCTTTATCAATTCATGACAAAATAGCAGTTCCTTCATTATTGTGTATTTTGTATCTAAAATGCGTGAAAGAAAAAAATCACTAGCGAAATAAATTATTCAATAATCATTTGTAACTTTTGCAAAAGCGTTTGTCAAAATTTATATTTTTTGTCCATGCACTTTCTTTTAAGATTTTTTTTCTTAATTTATGCCATAGAATTAGCTTAGGTTTGAAAAGTGACTGATGTTTCATTTCTGAAGCATATAAATAACAGCTCCAATTTGACCCAGACACAGAGATATTTCACCCTTCCCACATATAACATTGAATTGCCATGTGATTTAACAAATTGAATAAGATTAGTTGTTGACAGACATAAAATGGAAACAAAACTGTACCTAATGATATCGTTATTGTATACTTGTTTATGGATCGATTAGAACCTTAACTATTTCAGGGGGTACGATCTCATTTGGATGAAATGAAATATTACTGAATCAGGACTAATTTAATTGGATTTTGTGAAACACTTAAAATATTCAAACTATCTTAAGAAGGTAATGGTGTTTGAAGATTTTAGGAAAAAAATGGCCAACGAGGTTAATTGTTTAAGTTTAACCACTTTATAAAAATTATGTTACTACTTTAGACGTTAGAAACCAATAAAATATATAAATTAGCGAGAACGAACGCGACAATTGGAAAACAGAACATGGATTTCAATAATTAAGATAGACGTTTTCATTGAAACGTATATAAATTGTGTGTCACGTTGTATAGTTTTTGCATTTCGATTTGTCATGAACACATGCGGACTGAAAACAGGTATATATAAATGCCACAAGCGAACTTGACTACAAACAGTATGAATGGTTCTAGACACCTACAACAACATTTTCTTTTTTAGCTTCTGCTATTCCATCGACCACTGTTGATCTTAGTCTCTCCTCGCAGAAACCTGAAGGTCAAAACACATCCCCAATGCTGCTTTTGCAATCACAGGTATTTAAAAAAAAGACAAAATTTTTAAAAAGTTGACAACAACGTGTCTATCATTAACAAAGATTATTCTAAATACCTTTCAATTTTTTCTATAGTCCTCTTACAACGCCGGAACAGGATTTCAGACGGATCCTAGTTGTATTTATCCTTCCTGTGGAACTCAGGCACCGGGTATGTTTCATTCCCCTAATGTCGGTGGCAACATTCCAGACTTTGGTGACAACTTTTTCCAAAACGACGATGTAACTCCTATTACAATGCCAAGTCAGTTTAACATTGGCTCTTGTGAATTCCAACAAAGTTCTCATGGGATGTTTGAAGGACCATATTCTTATGACAGTTCTGTCATGGATAAACAACCGATGAAACCTCCTGTCTCTTTTGGTGATAATACAAGAAGTGGTAATATCCCACATCAAAAAGTTGATGAACCGGTGTTTGCCTATGAAGGCACTTTCCAGAGTTTTCCTGCAATGGATACTCATTATCAACAACAATTACTGAATCAAAACACAAAGCCATTTGTACGTTCCGGTTTGTTTTCACCACATCAGAATGTATTTCCAGAAAGCCATACGGATTATACAAATTTAGACAAAAAAATGGCCACTTATTCTCCTATTCAGGCCTATAGTGGCAATTCAAATACATGTTCCCGAGGAGAAACCACATTCCAAAATTACGACCACCCCTTCCCAGGGAACACCTTACCTCAGTCAGACGTATGTTATCCCTGCCGTGACGTTCCTTTCCGTAACTCATACGGAATTGATCACAGTTCTCTACAAATCCAGAGGCAAATGTCTCATCATGGGCAACTAAATCTCACACTTCCACCACCAAGACCTAACGACGGGTAAGTACAAACCTACTAAAAAATATTTGAAATTTTGGAATGTTCTTCATAAAATATATTATGTAAAGGTATTTGCTTCAAATTTCAACATTTTTACTCTGCAGCCTGAAATATCATATGGGGTCACCCACTACATCTCCCACATCTCTCTCATCAAGATCTTCACCCAGCAGTGGACATGAAGGGCCACAACGAGAAGGCATGCTGTGTGCTGTTTGTGGTGACAATGCTGCTTGTCAACACTACGGGGTCAGAACCTGCGAGGGATGTAAAGGATTCTTCAAGGTAAAACATGGAATACAACAGACATATGCAATTTATTGTCTCAAAGTCAAAAGAAATGTGTTTACAAGAAATTTACTTACCTCATTGTATTCTGTTTTACAGAGAACTGTTCAGAAAAATGCAAAGTACGTCTGTTTGGCTGATAAAAATTGTCCCGTTGACAAACGAAGACGAAACCGGTGTCAATTCTGTCGATTTCAGAAGTGTTTATCAGTAGGAATGGTAAAAGAAGGTATACAATAAAATTCTATGCTTTTTCAAACAATATTTTAATAACATTACTTCCATATACATGCATACTATTTAGCACTGTATACTAGTATATCACACGTTTTACAATTTGTTTTGTTACTTTGTAGTTGTTCGAACCGACAGTCTTAAAGGGCGTAGAGGACGACTTCCCTCCAAGCCAAAGAGCCCTCAGGAGTCGTCCCCCTCCCCTCCAGTCAGTCTCATCACCCTGCTTGTGCGGGCACACCTCGACTCTAGCCCTGATAAGTCAAGCCACTGTTATTCAAAGGTAGGTGCATGCTGCATATTCTTATCAGCATCAATTAAGGTTATCGTGTAGATTTTGTATTCATCTCCTTCTAATAAAATTTATTCAAAATGAGACAACATGTGATAAGTTGATCATTCCTAACAGACAACACCCGAAAGATTTTGTTAGCGCATTCATTCTTCAAAATTCTAATCAGATTTAATGTAAAACTATGTCCCTACCTTAGACGAAATACTTCTACTCGATTTATGATTTTTTCTCACTTCCTTTTTTTCATAATTTTTTTCTTTTAAAGTATGAAGTGCCTTGCACGAAATCAGAGGGGTGCACTGAGAAGACAGCAAATATGTTCTACGACCTCATTACTTCTTCAGTGAACATCATTAAAGCATGGTCGACCAAAGTTCCCGGTTTTTCTGACATATGTCAAGAGGATCAAAACATGCTTTTCAAATCGGCATCTCTTGAGCTCTTCGTTTTACGGCTTTCCTACAGGTATTGAAAGAATTTTGCATTAGTTGAATATCTCAATATATGAATTTTAAGAAAGAGAGTTTGGAACATATAAAATAAGTTTAAAACATACAAATAAAAAAAGAATATCAATTACATAAACTTTTAATGAAATACAAGGTGCATGACCGTTAATTGTGACATTTATATTAAATAATTAACAGGATATGACATATATATTTTATAATTAACAGGATGCAAGGAAATACAGACAATGTTATCTTTGAAAATGGCACAGTGCTTCATCGAAAACAATGCGAAGAAATCTTTGGAGACTGGATAAATTCCATTGCTGACTTTAGCACATCTTTATACAGAATGTCTCTAGACATTTCAGCACTGGCATGCATGGAAGCCCTGACTCTTATAACATGTAAGTTACCTTAAAATCAAACAGCCTCAGGTGCAACTTTCATTGCATTGTTTTTCTCCTTAATTTCTTCCCAATATCATGCAGGAGAACACATTTTAACCAATATATCCCCAATTCAAATTTCAGTGAGACATGGATTAAAAAACCAAGCTAAAATGGAAGAAGTCCAAATGAAAATCATCGACAGTCTGAGAGACCACTGTGTATACAATAGCGAGGCCCAGAAAAAGCCTAACTACTTCTCCTCTATCTTAGGGAAAGTAGCGGAACTGAGAACTCTAAGTCGCCAGGGCATTCAACGAATGGAGCTTCTGAAAATGGACACAAGCGAAGTTTCTCCGGCTCCAACTATGATTGAAGACATTTTCTTGTCCAGTGAATTACCATTTTAGCTAATCAGTACGGCAGTTATTGTCATGTTTTTTGATATTTTGTGTGTCAGTGGTAGATTTTTTTTTTTATTTCACGTATAATTCTTTGAACGAGATGCTTTATCATATGTCATATCTATCTTTATATTTATTGATGTTGATCAGAAAGGTGTTTAGAATTATATGTCGTGCTATTTTTTAGTTCTTTCTTTAAAGATTGAAATTGTCTTTTTACGTTCTTGGTCATCAATATAAGCTTTTCGTGGTACTTTTTGTAGAAGTGCATACTTGTCTCAATACATTTCATTATTCAATAATTTATATGTGACCAAAAATCAACATTATTTTTCATTGAGTAGTTATAGTACACGTGATGCTTCAAGTGTGGTGTATGTCGTTTAACGTCCGATTAGTTTAACTTTTATCAATTTTACTATTTAAATATTGTATTATTTAATTTTCTTCATTTTGAAGATGTCAATAGCCTTGTGCATTATCATATTTGATGTATCTGGTTCATTTCTACAAAGTTTTTGTTTCTGTATTTACCCACTCTTCTGCATAATACCAAATACAAAGTAGTTATAGCTCACCTTTGATCTGCCAGTAATTTTGAGTAGTACTTGTTGTAATCAGTATTTTTATTGGTTTTACCATGTTATTTGTCGATATGCTCTAGTCAAGTGCTACTGTTAGGTAACCATTTTATTTTAAATCATTTTTTTTTCTTCCGAGGATGTGGGAGGAAGGGGGCTTCAAGAAAAAAAAATTATTATCTTGAATAAAAAGAAACAATATTTAAAAAAACTAAAACTATGTAATTATCATTGCTCATACAAAGATATTTTACATAAAAGATAAAATACTGAAAAATATTTTTCTGTACAACTCATTTTTCATCATTTTCGAAATTTATTATTTATCAAATATTTTTACTTACAAAAAAATAATTCAAAATATTGATATTGTCTTGATGGCATTGTTTATTATTTGCAAATTTTACAATGTAAAATTATTTCTAATAAATTTCTGTTTAGCAAATATTACACTGCATTCTTCAACTGTATACCTGCAATTTTGGGTAGGTTTGTTTTATCTAATAATCTTTGAGAAGGGATCATTCATGAAAAAAAAAATTAAATTAAAATATCGGGTGAATTTTGTATCCACTGCCATCCAGTGAATTCAAATTTACCTGACAGATTTAACGCGTCAAGTTTGTTAAAATAGATCTAACAGTTACGTTTGTTATAATGGTTCTAACCGTACTTTTAGTTTGTTATAATGGATCCAACAGTACTTTAAGCTTGTTACAATAGATCTAAGAGTACTTTTAAGTTTGTTACATTTTATGTGTTGTAATGAAGTGCCATAAGTAAGTACATTGTACGCCGCTTACATGAAGGTTCCCATTCCGAAATACATTCAAAGTGCAGATGTAATACCAAACATCTATATGAAATATGTGTGTTAAGGATTCGTATTGTTACTTTTAATTGAATAAATCTATGAAAAAAAAACAATGTCTTTTCCTTTTGTTAGATGTTAGAACTGTGATTTGAGGTCTCAGGTTTAGCGATCTTCACAATTTCAAGACCTAAATTGAATCTATAAAGTGTTAAAAAAACAATGAATTAGATATTATAATTCCTATATTCTTATTCTTAAATATTTACGTTCAAGTAGTTTTCTTTCTTAAACTCAAAAAGGTTGATGATAGAGAACGGAAAATTATTTGAAGAAAGGTCCAAGATTTGGAGAGAGACAATAATATCAACAAATTCAGAGAAACAGTAAAGGCTTTTGAAAATTCTTTAATGACCTTATAACATACAGATAGAATTTCAAAAATCTGCAAATCGGAGTGGATGAAATCTGTGAATGAAATGACCTATTTGTTAAAACAGTATTGATCCATCAGTCAGATTGATTGATTGATTGTAGAGAATCACCATTAAAATGACTTAGGTGTCAGTTTTTGTTTTTTTTTTTTTTTTTTTTTTTATTGGATCAAACTCCAAGGTTTATGTATGCAATGAAAAATCTGGTTCTGGGGCTTTCATATTCATTATTTTACAAAATCTATTCAATCTAAACTGATGAATTCCTTCTGACAAACCGTTCAAAAGTAATGGCCTAGGTTTTTTTTTCAAAAGTAGGTCAAACTTCAAGAACAAGGTCAAAATGTCAAAATTGCAATAAATAAATCTTGTCACTAGCAATATACATTTGAAATACTGAAATATGAATGCCCTGACAGTTATGTCTACAAGGTTAAATTTTGGTAGAATTAAGCAATTATTGGTAAAAACACCTAGGTCAAGATCAAGAGGTCAAGTATGTTGGTTTCGTCTGAAATTCACATTTGAAATGTGAAAGTCATATCTCCAATCAATCAAAAATTACGGGCAAGGTCAAATATTTTGCAGACAAAGAGACAATTGCATACAGAAAGACTGATATTTAGAGTAAAAACTATATATGCCCCAAATCCTTGATTACAGAGTATAAAAAGGTTAAATAAAAATTTCTTAGCTTTAGGCTCATGCAGTCCTCAATGCCTTCAAGTGCCTGAATCGGCATGGCTTCCTCATCCTGACGTCTGCTAATAATAATAATTTTGTGTCTGCCGATCCCAATGCTAAAAAAAAATCGAACTTCTGTAAAAAAAAAAAAAAAAAAAAATTCATTTGTACCTGAACCAGTAAAAATAAATACACACCTGTGCAAATTATTCGAATAGAGATACTACAAATTACGAATTATTGTTTGAATTTTTTTTTCATTCTGAATTACTTCGTTTTTGTTTCATCAACATCTTCGTGGGTCAAAATGAAAATGGTATATGTACTGTATATTTTTTCCCTATTATGTTTGCTCACCTTGTGCTTCCAGCATTAAAATTTCTTCTGTCATTCCTCGCAACAATTTCTCAGTGAAGTATATATGGACAAGCCAATGTTTATGACCGTGAAGATATACTTAATTTATCTACTTTTTATTTAAAATAAGAAAAAAAAAAAGAAAATGTTCAATGAAAATTAACCATTTTTACTGGCAGATGTAGAGGGGGCGGGCACCCTTTTAATAAATTTAATAAATAAATTAATAAATAAATCTTAATAAATTAAGCCCCCTACCCCAAACTCCCTCCCCCTCTTCTAGATTCCTGGATCCGCCACTGATTTTGTTACTCAGCTGAGGGGACTGCATGAAGTCATTTTTTCGGGGGGAGGGTTAAAAGTGGAGGGAAAATAGAGATGGTAGAGATGAGAGTTGAGATAAAATAGCAAATAGAATCAAAAAGGTTACCTTTGAAGAAAAATTATTACCGGGCGATAAATAATGCAGATTTTATGTTATTTGATAGCGATAAAACTATATATACTGGTATTTTATTAAGAAATTATTAATATATTTTAATGAAATACTTTTTGCGGACTAGACTTTAAAAAATATAATTAGCACAAAGCATTAAATATATATTGTCTAAATATTATCAGATTTTTGCAATTTGTGCCTGTATTTATGTACACAAAATCAAAATTGTAATAAATAAAACGGGCTTGAAGAAGTTATGCTTAATTTGGTTTGTGCTTTAGCGTATACATCATTTTAAAAGATGCCAAAACGTCACATTGCAGGCCCATCAGGTTTTTTTTTCTTCTTTTATTGAACCGCGACTGAAGGTTTTACTTTTCGGTAGCTAAATCAGATAATTTAGTTGAAAAAAAGTTTCATTATACATGTATGATTCTATGATTATAGGGTTCAAATGACCTTTTCGCGGAATTGCAAATTCGGATATTTTAGAGGACTCCTTCTATAGGTAAATTCAGCACTTTGAATAAAATTAGTTCACTTACTTCACAACTGCAAAAGACGGTGAAGATCATATCGTGGAACCTCGTGGAACTGTTCCATTAACTTCAATGTCGGAAAGCCCGGCTGATTCTGCTTCGTTCCTCGAGAAGAAGACGAAGAAATCCTGAACCTGTAATTTTGAGAGAATTTTCCCTATAAATGTGAGAAGATTTATTTTTTATTAAAATATTTAACTCAAGGAATCTTGGCGTTGGATACCTAGCTATAAATTGTTTTCAAATAGTAATCATATTTTTTTTAATTTAATAAACTTTTAATTTACAACTGAAAACAAATCTCTCTCTCTCTCTCTCTCTCTCTCTCTATCTCTCTCAGTTCCATGTCATTTTCATTGCCTACATTACCCAGTGTAAATTAAATGACAAACTCTAATAACCCTTTGTAAGTAATATAAATCTCTGAGGTCAACGTAAATCTTTTAAATTGTTCTTTAAAGGAAAATTTTTGTGTTGTATTTGTGGTCAAGCCTGACTTAATAGAATTTTATCTCCTTAGAATGGTTCCATTGAAATTTATGCTCCGTGTCTTTTAAATCATTATAAGGCAATTTACCAATATTTTTTGACAAAGATGGACAAACTTAGAAAACAAAGGTAAGGGTACCTCGTTTTTGACTGTAAAATTGATATAAATAGGTCAAATATTATTTACTAGACAGTCTTTTTTAATACATTAATTTTATATTGCGTCAATCAAAGTGATGCCATATGTAGGTATGTATGTATAAATACACATATAAACCGTGTCTCAAGCTTGAAAGCGAGTGAAACCGCATGTTTCCCTTTGGTAGATCTGTGTTTTTGAGTCATGATGTATATGTGATAATTATATGTAATTAACAGAGAGAGTTTAAGCAAATGCTTAAGCAGATAATTTCTACATGATAAATATAGAATACTGTTCCATATCTAAGCACTGCGTTGAGTCACATGACGTATTGTGTACAGTTTTCTTCTTCTTTGTACATGAATTTTTGCATGCAACCATTTTTTGTTGTTTAATGTAAAAGAGGACCCACACCTAACTTTGTTCATACATTCAAAAGATAGAAAATGTACTCACATACCATGCTTCTTATATTTTTTTTCTCTTTATACTTGATGGCCTAGAATTTAAAGCATTATTCCAAACAAAGTTTGTATAAAGTTACGCGCAAACAAAGAGATGAAAAACCAAACCTTTTCAAGCAATATCTTCAATACAATCTTGCCCATTCCACTCCTAAAAAACAGCATTGTCGTTTGATCCCCCCCCCTTTATTAAACAAAGCAATTCCAAAATAGATATGAAATATAACTTTGATTTGTAAAGTCTCTGTAAGGAAGAATTTGATAGTAAGTTTAAACTGAATTTTAATTATCAATAAAATCTTCAAGCAATAATAGGATTTTTCTATTCAATTTAAAAACATCTGTTATCATCACAGTTCAATAAGAAAAGGTGACATCAAGAAAACGTAATTGTTACAACGGCTACGAAAATTGTATAATTATATTTTATATACTTGAACAAAGGTGTTATTAAGATTGAATTTAACCCCCTTCCCCGCAGTCACGCATTTTAACGCATATAATATTTCCTATTTCTGACGCAAAATCACGCATTTACCGTTTCCCCGCAATCACGCATTTTCACGCACTTTAAAAAGTTCATTAAATCTTCAATTTAATGCCAAATTCCAACTATTTCATACTTGCTTAATCTCATAAAATAAGAAAAATTATTTTCTAATTAAAATATTACGTCATGATATTATTTACGCTAAACTTTAGAGAAACTTGTACCCCGCTAGAAAGTGCTTGCGGGGAAATGGTAACGTAATATTTCTATGACGTGAGGATTCAGTTTATTTTGCATAACAATTTTGTAAGTTGTAAAGTGTTAAACAACATAATTATGTTTGATTCTTGCCAATTGTTAAGTTGTTACGAATTGAAAGAAAACACAATCGCAAATTATTCACTTATAAAATTGGAAAATCACATGCTGAAATG